AACATTTGGGGTGTTAGTAAAATTGGGGAAATGGGTCTATTCTAATGCTTGCATGAAACGTGTCAAATCATGCCTATAGGTGTTTAATTTGCTCGAACATATTCTGCTTCTATATGTGTTAGATAACCTGCTTGTAGGACTTTAATGTTCAATTCATTCAATATATTCTGCTTCCACTTTTGTTAGATACCATGATTATAGGAAATAAAATGACCAATGTCTCAATGTGCATTTTAGCATATTCACTAGATATCGTGACCATAGGGTTCTGATAGTTTATTTGCATCTTTAGAAATCATGCCTATAAGGTTTTAATTGGTCAATTTGCTGTAATCATAGTTGCTCACTTAGTAGATATGCCTATAGAAGCTAAAACCAGTTTCAATCGCTAATCCTAGAAATCATGTCTATAGGATAATCCCACTTACTTTAAGTGTTAAAATTGAACTTTCGTCATTGTTTCGTCGCCACTATTAGAAAGCATGTCTATAGGATCAAACTGAACACTTTTGAATATCTCCCATAATTGTCACTGCTAATTACTGCACTTAGATATCATGTCTATAGGTTTAAACACTTATAACCTATAATAATCAACATATAATATCAGGCTCCCTAAACTGTGTAGTTATTTAGAAGTCATGCCACTAAAATAACACCTTGTATCTGAAACTACCTGCATGTTTGAACTCCAAAGTCACATAGAAATCATGTCTATAGGGCTTAATGGCTTTAACTCGTCTCAATTCTGAAATTGTCAAACGCCTAATTTGCTTACGTGCATTTGTTGTCTAAGTGTGGAGGCTAACTTGAGCCCTTAACTGCATTTATGTGAAGTCCAACTTGTATTGTATGTCTCCTAGTTTTCTCATTTTGAGCAACCTAAGTTAGGTCTAGAACCACCCAAAATAGAGGTCCAAACGCCTCCTGGACTGTAGGAATGGGACGAGTAGTGCACGCATAAGGTACGAGTTATAATTGAACTAGTACGCTTTAGGTGACAACTTAAAGATAGTAATCGGGTAGCAGGAGATGATAGTCTGTGCCCGCTGAATAATACGAGTAACACCCCATCTAGACGGAGTTACGAAGTATTATTTATGTTGCACGGGGTGATCTTTTAGGCTAAAACACTTAGGACACACCCCCCCACCACC